ATCTACGTCGAATGCCCCTGGTCAACTCTCTACCTGAGAGACGCGTCCTTCTAGGGCCACCGCCGATACCATTGACCGTGGGGTGGAATTACACGTTGATGAGAAGAACTAATGACAGACAGTCAGGTTACGACAGAGCTTAGCTCAGTAAGCTTCCTCATCAGCTGTTACTCTAGTTCACAGCTAAGGGCAGATGGGTGATCTTCATAGTGTTGGTGACCATCAAACCAACTGCTGTTAATGCCACGACTCCAGCAACGATCAAAGACCATACCACAACTCGGCCCAAAACTGTCTTCGATTCTGCCTTCATGATTGTTACGAAGATATATAGGGGACAAACGATCATGATGATGGTGCCGAGGGAACCTCCCAATAGGGAAACCACATCAGCCACGCCTGGTACCAGAATACCAACGATCAAGGTAACAGCAAGGACCAGGAAGCTGAAGAATATTCTTAGTGCTCTTTCGGTGGCATTCTCCTCGGTGACAGAGGAAAGCACACGCCTCCTAGTGGGGAGGAGGCGGTCACCTCTCGAGTCGACCATGAGTTCTCGAATTGATTGAAAAAAGTGTACCGCAGCTTTGGCAGTCGGATTGGTGTTTATCGGTATGGAAAAAAGAAGACTACACGAGAGCGATAGACGACATAAGCTAATGAGAACGTCACCTGACGGATAGTTGGTGATGTAATTCTGACGAGTAAAATGAGGAAAACTGATGTATCCAGCAACACCGATGACGATGTAGAAAGACAGTTGGACAAATGCCACTCGGGAGGTAACCTTGAGGACTCTGGCCGGAGTCGGGTCGACGAGCTCACCAGCGACAGGAACGACATTCATGTGGCAGATATAAGCGAATAATGTGATGGTGAACGACTTCAGCAGAGGCCATCCAAAAATAAGCAAGTCCACCGGAGCGTCGGATGGGAGGATGACGGACTCACGATGAGCTTTGACCATAGTGATGACAGCCGTGAGGATCAGAGAGAAGGTCGCCACTGGAGAGACGTATTGGAGAGCCGACAAACGACGAGGGAGCACTAGCGGTACTGCAAACGCTGCCACCCCTATCATGCAGATCGTGCGACTGGCTACAGTGACACCGACCAGCTGGAACAGGGCTGGCAGGAAGTCACCAAGTAATATGAAGTAAGCAATGACCGCTCCCATGCCGTAGAGGAAGAGTATGATATCCAACACTGGTGCCACCCACTTCCCTGCACAGTAGCCTAGAAGGGAACCGTATGAATGCTTGTTCGCTCTAACAGCACACATAATGAGGATGTACATCGTGACGAAAGCGATAAGCGATGATATACTCAATAGAAGTACTCCATTGATGAGGCCGACCTGAAATGGAAGAACTATGCCGACAATAAATGAAAACCATCAAGTTCCTCACTTGCTTCATGACGTATGGCAAACACAATACCCCACCACCCATAGCCGTTGAGATGAGTGTAAACGTCGACTGCCTGATCCCCCCCGGAGTGAGCGGAGCGAAGGACCGCTGTACCAAGCCCTGACGGTACGGCACAGAGCTAACCGACGAGGAATATTCCATTGACGGACCATTCACCACCGATGGATCGAGAAGTCGAGCAGACATACCCTTTGCAACGTCCGTCATCGGAGGTTAACGCAACGTTGAGATACTTACACCGATAAACGATTTTGCGCTTGGGCAAAAGCGCGCGCCCAGATGATCGATTTCAATTCCGCGTAGGAAGACTGTTTCCGACTCATAACCAAACACGACAATGCTAATAACGATAATACGATGATGATGACGATGACGATACACTTGAAAAGATATTCCTTATGATGATACCAAAGAGCCGCTGCTGTCACCAGTTATACACAGTCAGAGTAACCTCATCGAAAAGGAGTAACCCAGCAATCTACTTCCAACTCACTCTTGCCTTCACATGAACTGCGAGTGGCGCAACGCCTATCTACGATAGCAATGTCGTCGTCATCGTCGTCGACAGACAAATGACGGTCAGCTATGAGCAGATAATCAAAAAACAAACAGTTGATTAATTGGAATGGTTTCCTTGCAAAGTACTTCGACCTTACACCTCCTCATCTTCACCATCATCAGAAGCCTCAGAAAGGTACTCCCAGTCGTCAGACGGCTCCCAATCTAATGGACGCCAGCCGTCCCCACGCATCCTAGGGGGCTCTAGCAAGCATGTCTCGGGTGCTTTAGGTGGACTATAGGCACCAAGTCTTCTGATAACAACATGATAGATACCATTATCGCGGAAAGCTATACAAGGGGTAACATAATCACCCTGGACCCAAGACAGGTCCGTCACAACACCGGTACATTCCCAAGGGAGGCCGGCGAGTCGACGATAGAATGTGAGCCCATTATTGTCAAGTAGCATCCCCATGAGCCCTTCGAAGCGCGAGAGCACTAATGAGCTGCTTTTCGGTTGGAGCTGTTGTATTTGCGCCATAGGCTGCCTATAGAAGCCTTGAATCTTCCTCGGATTCTCCTGTATTTTGGATTCTTTTATCACTGCACCCGTATCGGGTGAGAAAGTCACACTACTCTTGCCGCCCGCGTCGAAATCGACACAAGCCAGACTTAAATTATCAGCGTTCTTCTGAACATGGAATTCTAAGTAGATACCACTCCCGCCGCATCTCTTCAAATGCTCGACCTCAATTCGAGCGGAAAGATAAGCCACATAATCTTTTTCATCGACAAACGTCATAGCAGAGCGGTCGGTGTCTCTAAAGGTCCTCGAACAAGCATGGAAGAGCTTATACCGACTCTTCCAGTCCATATTAATTCGCTTTCCCGTACTCCCCAGCTGCCCACCCTGGAACGACTCGCCACTCTGTAGTTGACCACCGAAGACACGACTGCCAAGTTCACGCCAGATGTTCAGCGACCGACACTTCCGCCGAGCCTCCTTACAGGTCGCCTCGAATTTAGCCAAGTCGTTGGCTGATAGCACCCCCAGCACATTGATGAGGACCCCTTCGGGCAGGTCCAGCAGAGACCAATCGGCAATACGGCCCATCTCTACAGCCGACTTAGCAGCGCCAATGAGCTCACAGCAGACAGGCATAAGTACAGCTGCTGTTGCTGCAGTAGCAGTCGGTGGAGGAGGCAATAAGAGTGCCATATGGAATGACAACGACTACCCCACGAGCGAATATTGGCCAAAACCGACCCCTAAAAGCAAGAGTGCCCAGCGCAGGTGAGATAACTATGTTGCACGTTGTAGAGCATCTAATAGTGTAGACAATATCATGGTATAAGAAATGCATATCGGATTCACATTAGAGCATCATCATCGTCATCATCATCCTTCTCATCAAAGTAGTCCAAAGGCTGACCAAGATCGACCACCCGTAGCCCACCTATAGTTGTGCTCGAACTCACATCCGAAAAGTCCTCAGCATCTCCTCCTCCTCCCGGCCTGGCATATGCTGGGGTTTTGTCTAGTACCTGTCGAGGACGGTCAGGCTTGGTGGCGGCCCGTCTTGACGCACTTCGAAGAGCCATCGCTCCGAGCCACTCGTGAGCTCCTCCTCATCAAGACCGTTGCCCTGCCGTATCCAAGTTGTGAAGTCTTCTAATTCAGCTCTATTCCGCAACATGAATCCAAAGCACATCGACGAGTTCAGACGAGACCATCCAAGCTGAGCGAGGAAGTACCAAGAACTCCTCTCGCCTTGTGGGAGTGTGTGCTACACTATGAGGCTTCAGCTGATGTATAAAAGTCCCCTCCTGTATTAGCTTGGCATCTGTCAAAGCCGGTTGGGTCGCTAAGTGCGGGTCGAGATAGTAGAGCTGAAAGGCGACCTCAGTGGGAAGCCGTCACAGGAGCCGCTACCCCTCCCTTCCAGGCAGCGACAAAATAGAGCGCACTGGTGGTCGACTCCCCACTGCTGAGCCCTACGAACCCGGGTCTTCGGAAACATGCCAAAATCAGTGGTATGTGGCTCTCTGGGATGGTGGAGTCTTGACCCTAAGGGGCCTTCCAATGGGCACTTAGAAGAAGCACTCACCAGTCGAACACAGAGGAGAACAAGCACTGGTAGTGAGCCCTCCTCCTGCAGCAGGGGCTCGACTTGGTCCTTATAGAGAACACCATCGTCGAAGGCAACACATTGGAAGGGCACTCTGGCGGCCCTACGAGCAGCCTCGTCCTCCTCATGTGCCGCTTTGACGAGTCTCGACGCCACCTAATATCGCCATATAATAGCTTTGCAGAAAGGGTGGCTTACCATGCCCCCACTGGTGGGGCCAAACCACGTGCCAGGACGTTTAGCTAGGACCTCCTGGCCCATCTTGACCATACGATGCAACGACAGAGGCGCCTGGGGGCTGTCTAGAAAGAGGCTCAACACGACGCTATCGTCAGCATCTGCAGAATAATGTCACTGGAGAATAAGCATCCTGCCTCACCTTTTCCAGCCATTTTAACAGCTTGGGCCAACAGCATTTGAGTAGCGCGAATCTGCGGGCAGTTGACTTCGCTGCAGAGTACTTGTCTTCGTCTTACTGCACAGCCCCATCCTTTATCGCTGACACTGGTGGGCC